TGGTTATTTATTTTGATTAACGGTATTGCCGTGGTAATTTTTAAAAAATTTAAATACTTTCAAAACGTTACTCCTACAGTTTTAGTTTGTTTGCAATCCTTCCATGAAAAGAAACTAAATCAAGGATGTGTGTGTTTTTTTTTAATTGCTGATGCAAAGTTTCAAGTTCAGCTGCTACTCTCCTCTTTCATTGTTACAAACCAGTATGACAATATAGAGAGCATGAATTTGAAATTAATTTTTTGAAATGGTCACATAAACAAGAATTATATGTAAATGACACGACTTTTGTAGCAGAGGCATCATCAAATTTAACCCCCCCCCATATTTTATCAAAAGACAGCTTAAACCTAGTCAGCAGCAAGAATGGACTCTGTGAACATGAAATATCACAAATTGCAAATATCTCCTAATGCATCGTTTTTTTTTTTTAATAAAACAAAAATGTAGAATGAACTTTCTTAACACCCTTTAGTTGTTGACCGTATAAACATTGCCCAGTATTTTGATTTGTTAGACCTATGGCATGTAGAGTATGGCTCTCATATTTCACATTTTGTATCATAGTACATGTATTCCTTGTGACAAGGCCTTTCTTTGGGTACCAACATATTTTTGTCCTTGTTTTTGGAGTGTGGCTCAATTTTCAAAGAATTTACCTAACTTTTACCTTGGACGTATTTTAAAGGTATTTTCATTGAAAACAAGATTTCTTTGAGTAACATTTTTTATCACTTGGCCAAGCTTGGAGTTTGACATACATTTAAGAAAATTCAACCATTAAGCCAAAAGTTGTCATACTGGGACATCGGTGTTTCGCAAACACATCTTGCTATTGCTTGAGTTCGACCCTAAAGAATTCCACAATTTATCTTAATCATGCAATAATTTTTGCTGAAAAATTACTCTAAAATGAAAATATTAATTCAGCTACTTTTAAACATTGATTTGATTTATTTCAAAATTAATGATTTTGAATTAATATCTTTGTCTATTTCATTAATACATGAAATCATTATTTAAATATTTTTTTATATATACATCACCTATTCTCACATAATCCGTCCAAATGCGCTATTTGGATGTCGCAAGCACTTTAAATTACATTAGTATAAAAATAACTAGTAAAATTTGTAGTATTTTGTTTGTGATGCGTCTATAGTTACCAACCCAACACAGTAAAATGTTAATACACAGGTTAAAACCTCCCTGGGATCGAAGTATTTAGTCTAAAAAGTGACTTTTCAGTCTGTCGCTCAGGCAAAGGTCAATGTTTAGACCACTGAATAAAACACAGCAATTATATTTTATGTTAAAAGTTATAACTTTTGCATGTAATAATGCATAAATATACTGAATTTCCGCACTTTAAAATATATGTCTACAGTGAAATTTAAAAAAAATGTAAAATAACTATGTCGCAAAATTTGTGTAATTTACGTTATCAAATTATTATTACTTGTTTAAATAGCATAAAAGGGTATCTAAAAACATAAGATATCTTCTAGAATATCCAACAAAGTCCATAAAATGCAACCAGAATCAAAAAAAAGTCATATGACAGAATACTTACAAAAAAACATTGGTCTTGTAGCCAGAGGTGAGTGGTTCGTTTTAAGGATGTATTTTACGTTATCAACAATACTTAAAGAATACGAGTATAACTGTCTTTGCATATTAATTCATTTATTCTTCCTGACGTACCAAATACGTAAAATATCAAAACGAGCATTGATCTGTTCGATTACACATTATACACCAATAAAACTGATAAAAAGTAATTTACGTTATGTAATTTACGTTATCAGTAGAAAACATACATGGTCCATATCTTGCAAATAAGACGTCGGATCAATACGGAACCATGCAGGAAACGTTATTGGTTTTCTCTCAAGGGTATCTTAATATCACCGAACTTCCGATGTAGATCTGATAAAGAAAGCGCCATCAGATAACGTAAATTACATGTTGCCTTTAACAACTTTCAAATATTTCTTTATTGATTCGTCAAGAATGCATTTTTTGAAAGAATTTTAATTGTTTTTAAAAACAATGTATTCTTCTTTTTATTTGAAGGAATAGTTCACGCATAAATCTCTGTTCATTGGTGACTTCCTGAAGCAAAACTCTCATAACGTAAATTACAGTAGTGATAACGTAAATTAAATATACTTTAAATGCCTTTCTCTGTAATTATATTTCATAAACCTCGTTTAACAGAGATGGTAAAGTCAAAAGAAGAAATTTAAAAAGCATATAGGGAGTAAAATAAAATAAAATAGGAAGAGACTTAACTCGAAAAATAGAAGAAAAAATAAATTTGACAGCAGATCTTACGTTATCATTATATCTAACTGTGAATCTCTCAAAAAGATGAACAATAATCAGTATTTGTGGCATTTTATAGGTGTATGAAAATACTGTATGTCATTTAGATATGTGGAAAAAAATTCAAGAAAATATTAATTTTTGGTTTGAATAGCAATGAAATTGTAATTTACGTTATCAATATATTTCTTTAGGAGAAATGATGTAGAATTTTCACAGGTTCTTACCTAAGTAAATTTTAAAATCCCTTTCTCTTCAGGATTCAAAATCGTAAAATTAAGTTGCACAGAAATTCAGTTTAAAAATTTTTAGCGAAAAAGAACAGAATTATTCCAGTTTAAAATTAAGATTAAAGCAAACAACATTTGTTAATTACAAATTACGAGAAAAACACAGGTGCAAAAACAAAATTGTTGGTATATTTTTTTAGTACAGACATAGTTCTAAAAAACCCAGATAAATTTGAATATTCATTTTGGCAATTTAAAGACTTTTAGAGGGGGTCAAATCGACCTAAGACAATAACGTAAATTACAAAGGAAAATACCCTACCTATATAACTTATTGAATATTTTTGTTATCGTGCATGGTTGAGTTCTGATTTAAAAAAAAATAATTCTCCAATGTTTTGTTTGCTTAAAAGCACCGACTTTTCCCCAAAATAATGACTTTATTTTTTTCATAAAAGTCGGGTTGCATGTGGACGGATTATATGAGAATAGGTGACATGTAAATCATGTACCCAAAACCTTTTACTTTAACTTTATTTTTATGTTTGTGGTTTCTATGTTGATTTTTTTTCAAAGATAATTTTTAAGGACTCTTTACCCTATAGCAACTGTTATAACCATTTTCTTTTTTATATTTACATGTAATAGAAATAAAAATTAAACTCCCTGCTCCGGACGGCCGGTATTACTTCCGTTATCTAACTTCCGGTTACCCTGTATTGCGTAAAGCTGATCAATGGACATCTCCTCGCTTAAGGCGCGCATCTCTCGATCCGTTATGGTAGAATGGCTGAACATCTGGTGATGGCGCCCAAGTGTGGGTTCAGGATGATACCAGCGTGTACTGATAAGTCTCATATCTTATCAAGAAATACTATAAAAAGTAAAAATTTACATCGTAGGATCTTGTTTTCCTTTTTTGTGAGTTTATTGAGATATAGACCTGTTATGTGACGAGAGTCTTTGGCGATCTGTCCACACACCTGCTTACGCCCTGGACTTCCCCCCTCGGGTAAGATTACCTGTAATGGATAATGCACAATAATATGAGATAATCCATCATGCAGTTAATAGTCCTTTTAATGTGTTTACAACCGTATTTGTTTTTAAGTATTTTTTTGTATTTTTTGTTAAATCAACTTTTTTTTAATATTTGTTTAAAAATAAATATGGTATCCATGCATTTGTAAAAGTGTATTATTCATTAATATAGCATGCATAGATTCATTACGATTTACAATTCTTTTGGTTTTCTCATTCATTTCTTTCTCCTTATTTTATAATGGCTCTGTGTGAAAAAAGCTAACTTTCAGTTTTGGCTCCCGACCCTTTCCTCAACTTGCTTTGATTTCTTTATTGTGCTGGGGGTCAACAAATTGACCATCAGATTTAACTTCAGTATTTATATTTGATATTTTAAGCCGTCTACTATCATTTGGCAAAGAAAAAATCCAAACATTTTAGTTTTAAAATGTGATCATTTTTGTATATCTTTATATGGAGCTCTTCTAAAGGAGATCTAAATGGTCTAAAAATTGCCACAAACCTCAACTCTCTTAACAGCTTTAGCAGAATTATGTAGAAAATATGGTATTTTCATGACATTCAATTTGAAATCAATTGAATTCAGTTTGTAAAATGTAAATTTTCATTGATTGTATTTTTTCTCTCGCTCTTTTGAAACATTTTCCTATTTTATACATAGTAATAAAAATATTTTTAAAAATTATTCCAATTGAATATTATCCACTTTTATGAGAAATAATTTTTTTTTGAAATTTCATTATTTCTTGGTTGGGCGTAAGAGGGAATACAAGATGTATAAAAATCTGTGTTTTAAGATCTTCAAGTTGTAGTTGAATAAAGTCAGTCGAAAAATTTCGCATTTGAAAGAATCTTTCGAATAATTGCTGATTGCAATCGGTAGGTACTAAAGCAAAATTATTCAAATCATTGGTTATAAAAAAGAAATCGATTTCAATGACAACATACAAGTCTTTTACTAAAAACATCTGTTAGAGGGAAGGTCGCATACTATTATATAGGACCTTGACTTGTAGACGTTATGTATACACAGGGAAAACCGCATTTCGTTTATAACTTCATTCATTGATTTGAAACTTAGGATATCATTTTATATCTCTCTGTCACGGCGTCCTAGAGGCATTGTCCGTCTGTCTGTCTCTAGTGTATAACTGTAGATGAATCGTTATATCGTTCTTCGACTATATAAGAGCTTTCCAAACCAAAGGCAGATGAGGATATAAGTATGGTTTGAAATGGTACAAGTTTCTCATGTAATCTTTTATTTTTGTTAATTATAGGTTTTATTAAAATTAAAAATGTTGTTGTATTCTTCGCTGTATTAGATTTTGGTTATGCCGGGGAGGGGTCCTTTTTTACTTCTGGTTGAGAAAAAAAAGTAATGAATCAGTTTCTGTTTCCTTTTGTAGGTTTGGTTTCAAAATTGACTTTTTGTTTCTGTACAAGTCCGGTAGAGGAGTGAGCTTCCAATGGTTTATAAACTAAGTCTCCCCTGTATTCGTTACTTATTCCTCTGGACTATCCTTCTGTATCTCTCCGTCTGTTATATATCAAGAAACATTCCGTCCATGCTGGCTCTCCAGTTGTCCAAGAAAAAGACAATTCGTTCCCCTGACGAGGACCCTGTGGATTTTACCTGTATTTGGAGCGCGGTGGACGAGAGAGAAAAATGTAAACCGAACTGTAAGCCGGGATACTTTGGGCTGTACGGAATGAGAAGTTGTCACCCTTTGCTAACGTGTGAGGAGGTCGGGGAACTGAACATCTCCTCGGAGATAGGGAACCAGGGATTCGTCAAAGAGGTACTCAGTCTGCACTAAAAAAAAATAAATAAAAAGACTGTCCATCATACTTAAATTAAACTTAAGTAAAGTCATTAGATTTAAAATTATCTATTGTTGTCTTAATTGAGTCGGTCTATGGCTTTAAGAATTATTGAGACCGAGACAGAATTCAAGATAAACTAACCAATTTCACACCATGATATATAACAAAATGTTTTATTCAATTTATTGGCCATGCAATAAATCTCTTGCGTAAGGCGTAGCTGCCCCCTCTTATTCCAAATGTACATTTTACTATTCCTTGGCTTTTCACTCTTACTATCCTATCCCTGACTTTATCCATGCCATGAGCAGAATAAAGTACTGGATACATATACAGGAATAATTATCTAAAAGTTATTGAAATTAAACGAATTGGATGTTGTAGTTTAATGGTTTAGCCAGGTTTATCTGAAGTTCATCAACTTTCGAATCAAAACTTTTCCGCCAAAGATTGCTATAGGAATGTTTATGGCAATACACATGTATTTTCAAGGGTACAATTACATAAATCAATAAAATCATGAAAAAAGGGAAATTAGGAAATGTTAAATCTCTGGATACTTTGGAAGCTTCTAGTGACTGATCAGTGCTTTATCGTAATTTGTTTCATAACAAAAATATTTTGATATTACGAGTCAGGTAAAATAATACGCTTAAGAAATATACCTGTATTTTGCAGAGGAATACCTGAAACAACTTTAAGCGGAACCATACATTTTATTTTGTTTTAATTTGCAATAAAATGTAGTAGCTCCAGAAAATTTCATGTTTGGGATCAGATTCCATGAATAAGTAAGTTTTCCCTTCAGCCACTGGTCTCACTTGTTAAGAACCTTCTATATTGCCTAGGTATATGCCACTATTTAGAGAAATCTTTGGAAAATTAAGTATGAAAATAATGCCCTGAATTTTTTTAAAATTAAAATCACCAGTCAAAATTCGATTTAATGACAGGTTAATTATTGCAATGCATGGAGAACATTGTCTCGATTATAGAATTTGCAAAGTACATGTATATTGATCTGATGCCCTTGTAACAAAAATGTTTGTCAATAACTTGCTTCGATTTAGAAATTTATCGTGAGCAGAAAATAATCTTCCTGTTGTATCACTCACGAGGCAGGAAACCCGTATACAAATGAAAAAGGTAGAGTGCTATACATAAATAAAGAAAAGTTTTAGAAACGTTTAAATCAGCACGTTTAAATAAGAAAGAATTATACGGTAGTTTGCAAGCAATGCCTTCTTCGTTTAAAACATAAAAAAAAACAGATGTGGAATATTTTTATATCTAGTTCAATAAGATTTACAGAAACAAAATATGAATAAATATACTTTTAATTGAAAATTATTTATTTAAACAATAAAATGCTTTCTTTGTTTGTTATCACTGGAATTAATGGAAGCAGCTGTTGCAGAAAAATACATTACCCGCGTAAGCGGGTTATGTAATTTTTTTTCTGCAATTGCTGCGACCGTTAATTCCAGTAATAACAAACAAAGAAAGACATTTTATTGTTTATATTTATATCTGTTTAAATTTTCATTTTAAGTAGGATTAAAAATATCAATTATTGTGTTAATGATGCGAACGTCTTTGTACGTTTCATTGATGGAACGGCCACTGATCAAGAAATCTGTACAGGTGATATGCCTAATGTAGTTTATGCAGGGATGAACGCAATGGGATTTCTTAAGAAATAAAGAAGAAAATATTCAGTGGATGTAAATATATATACTTTAATGTACATCTAAAGGCCACAGCAGAAGCTTTTTCGTCTCTATTCATTTTCAAAACATAGAGGAATATTTTTTTAAAAACATTCTGCTTCAAAAGTACAGTGTATACACAAAAGATCTGACAGTCTGTCTGTTATGTTTATATTTTTTAAGTTTAAACCAATGATCCTCTGTTAGCACACACAAAACGTTTTATCATGGCCATTCGATATGTCATTCATACTTATTTTAGGTTTGGCAGTCAAGTTGGAATTCATTTCCTGTGGTCGTGAAAAAATTACGGCGTCACGACATCGGGGGAATCATAGCTAGACCCGGCTTCTTCAGGGGAATAGACCTCATGAAAAACTCCCCACAGCGTTCAGTTTTACTTCAGTTAGTGGGACAATGTAACGACACCATCGTCACGGAAATCCATCCGTTACTGGACGCGCGATACCTAGAAACGCGACTTAAGGAGTATCCTCAATACAATACATTGTCAACCAGAATGAAGTTATGTATAAGCTACGTGGACATCTTAAGAGTGCTGCACTCAGGCATCGACAAGAGAATATATGTACAATGTGATGCGCGTTCTCTGAATAAATTGACAGGACAGTTTCTTCTTACAGAAGACTTCCGGTTAGTGCTCAGTGACGTAGATTCCATGGAGGCGATTATTTTAAACGAGACGAGCAGACGACTGATTAAATGTACGGACTGGGGGCAAGTGACCGGCTACTTTCCTGCCCCGGAGGAGTTGTGGCCGTACACAGGGATGTTCGACGCTTCCAGGATGCCGTTGTATGACGAAAAAATTGAAATTTGGAAAATTCTTGACATGTGTTTGTCCTTTTTGGGAGATGATCATTCTGCACTTAAGGTTAAACGTTCTCTAAAAGAAATTCATAAATGGTGCAAGAACCCCAATCCCCGGAAAAGACCGTCCGCGGAAGAAGTGTTACACGCTTACGTGAGAGTTTTACGTGACGTCATAAAAAGTCGTGTGAATATATTACTGTCACCTTTTGGACTGGATACACCAGCTATGCAATCATTGTCGCATTGATTACCAAAGATTTTTTTTTTACCAACCAGTTGTCGAGTGGGTTATTTAAAAAATAAATTTAATATCTATGTTTGTTTGCTTTCAATGCTTGTAGGAACCGGGCGTCCGCGATTTCAGCTAACAAAATACATGTATTGTATGGTAGTGTACCAATGTCTGGCGACCTTTAGTTTTCCCTTTTCCCTTTGCTTGTCAAAGATGTTAAGATGCATTCCTCCCTCTCACGAAAAGCGTCTTTTTAAAGTTATTTACTGTAAAGATCAAAATGAACCGGAAATTAGCTAACATCGATTTATTTTCAAGCTCTATTAAATTATTAAATTGTAGATACACGTTAAGCAAGAAAAGCATTAAAAGTGTAGTTTAACTCAATGACCATAAATCATATATACACATGTACTGTCACTCATTACATGGAAATACTAACAGCTTCACTTTTTTGCCAAATATATATATTGTAAAGAAGGATGAAGTAGTCAATGGGCCTATAACTTCCAAACACTGGTATGACTAGGACTAATGGTATAGTCCAGCAGCCTGTTTACCCCTTTTTAGATGGTATTGTCCTTTTCTATATAAAATGCTGCAGAGGCCATATATGGCATTGTGAAAGTAGAAGTACAGTCATCCTGAATAAGGATTAGACACCGAGTACTCTTAGAACTTGGCTGTGAATACGGTGGAGGGTGTCCAGCCAGATCTTCATTATCCAATAAGAAAAAATCCTCGACTTGTGTTAAGACTATACAAAAAAAATGAACCCGCGACAAGTACCTCAGTAAATCAGCAATACTGTATACAGGGTTATTTTCGCCCCGTCTTATTTTCGCCCTTTCACACTTGCAAGCAATTTTGCCCCATTTTAAATTCGCCCAATCATAGTTTTAGTTAAGAAATTAGACTATATTCTTTGAATTCGCCCCGTTTTAAACTAGCCCAAATGAGTGTTGGGCGAAAGGGACTAAAATAAAATGGGGGGGGGAATTTCCCTGTATACAGTAGTTATAATTGTACATAGGCGTAGTCACAGGGGGGCAGCGGGGGCAATAGCCCCCCCCCCCACTTTTAGATCTGGGGGGGGGGGGCAAGATATGTCTGTGCCCCCCACTTTTAAATAAAGAACAAAATCACAGCTATTTTTCCTCAACATAACCTTTAATATAGGAAAGTATAGTTATATCGAAGAATTGTGGTAGAAAATTGGAATTGAAAGTAACTTGTCTTTGAAAAAGATGCCTTTACTATAGAAAGTATAGTTATATCGAAGAATTGTGGTAGAAAATTGGAATTGAAAGTAACTTGTCTTTGAAAAAGATGCCCACTACCCCCCCCCCCCCCCCCCCCCCCCCCCCCCCACGAAATAGGATTTTCGACTTTGGGGAACTTTCAATTCCTTTTTTTTTTTTTTTTTTCCTTGTCAAAGAATTTCTGGAGTTGAGCCCCCCCCCCCCACTTTTAAGTTTGTGACTACGCCTCTGTTGTAAATAGTACCTTGTATTAATTGCAAGCTCAGGTCGAGTCAGAAGAAGATTACACTTATTATACTTGTCTGTAACGTCCTTGTATCTCATGAAATCGAATCATAAGATTAAATGTTACAATTTTAAAGATATATAGTATAATGACCGTGTTTTGCCATTTTTCATCTGTTTCGAGATGTAAGCAAATAAATTAAAGGCGCAATATAACAAATTGCTATTAAATATGTATTTATGTATTTTGAAAAATACAGACATTACTTATTTTACAGAAAATGAATGTCACGTAGATCTTTAAATATGCACATTTAAAAGATTTGATTCCCTTTCCGGATATCCTCAGTACATAATAAGTGAAGGTAAGTCCGGACCAGTATGTTGTATCCAAAGTTTTCAAAAGTTAAGTCCCTTGGCCGTCATCGACTCAAGCCACGGTCCGGAGTCCGTATATATAGCTCTCTCCTACAGAATGGGAGAGGATCGTACATTTTGTCCGTGGTTTGCGACGATGCTTGGCCGTCATCTCTGGGGGAAGATCCATTAATTCACACGATAGCCTGTGTAGTTTTTTGGCATTGTATCTTGTCAACATCTATGTTACTTTTATAATGATTGCCTCAAGATGGTGACCCACAGATCTAAGGGGAATTTTTTTTCGATCACGTCCAAATGTTTGGTAGCATCATAGACCTAAATCTAAAGTAGATGGTAGCATTACGAGAAGAAATGAGCTTCTTTCAATTAAACCTTTTGGTTGACCCCACCAATGGACACAACTTTAGCAATGTGTGGATGTGATTTTCTGACTTTATCGAATTTAGTATAATGTATATAAGTAATGCGCAAAAATCTATTGATTAAAAAATAGTTAAAGCTATATTTAGCATTTTAATGAATTCTAGAAAAAAAAAGAACAAATACTAGTAATGCATTAGCATACAGCTGCTTAGGCCGTAAAAGATTTAAGAGGACATTTGTTTAGCATCAGAAGAACTTATGAAATAGTAAGGCGTCTGTTGCCATAGAGTGTATTTCTGTCTGTTAGTAAGCAATTTATGAAATTGCATCTCAACCAAGAAGTTTGATAGGATTTTCATTAAAACATGGTTCACAGCTAGAAATATAATCAAATAATTTAATTTTAGTTGTAAAGCGTCGTTTGACTGGATAAATTTTTTTTTATCTAAATTGTACAATTTGCCTACGTCATAATGACTTATGTCAAAAACGCATCAATCCGCCTGATGTTAAAGGGAGAAATGAGAATTGTTTTATATACTAAATTATTGAAAATTAAATTATTAGTAATAAGTTAAATAGCAACCCAAGTTATACTGCTTTAACCTGGGTTTGCGTAAAAGTGTAAACTGCTCCAACCCAGGTTATAAAGTATAACTTGGGTTGCTACATGTACTCAGTATTTAATTCATTCCATAGGAAAATGATTTACTTTTCCCACAGATAAATGTGTCGCAATGCATTGTGGGCTACTACAAGTACTCATTTGCGTTGAAAATAAAGGACAACTTAAATAGTCCCATGGAAACTAATTTTAAATTTTTTTGAGATTTATGATAGAAATATTTAAATTGCTGTAATTTAATCTTTTGTTTCTATGCTCACATTCACAAAATTTGCTGTATGAAGCCTTATTCCAACTTATGCCTAGGTCACATTTCCCGGCCGGTAGCCGTAGACCGGTGGTAATCGGTAGTAATCCGTGTTGTTAACGATGCCCTAACATCGGTCCACATCGGCCTAGTAGTCCTAAAAGTATCAGTCACATTACCCAGCGATGTGCATACGATGGGCAACCAATGCGTTTTATGAGAGAAATGGCGTGGTTGCCGGCCGGACTTACAAAGGCCCAGCAATGCATTGCTAATCATAAAACGATGTTCCAGGATAATCGGTCGATGTACATTACATCGCTCATACATTGGTGAACATAGTTCGTACATCGGTCGACTACGGGCCAATGTTTGGTCGAACATCGACCGATGATCGGTCGTTATCTGTTGAACACTACTAAACTCCCCGATGACCTCAGATTCAACGGATATTGGACGATGCTCGGCCAAACATCGGCCGATCCTTGAAAGATGTGTTAATGATGGGTTGCCGATGAGGAGCAATGTGAGGCATCGGTAGAGACATCGCTGAATTTTAACTACGAATTATTTCCTACCGATGACCCCACCGATTCGCAAAAACGGCTCAGTCACCGTCCGATCACTAATGGTGCCCGGCCGGTGTTGTATAGTAGCCTTTCCCCCTAGCCATCTTTCCCCCCGGAAACATGGCTATATAGTAGTTTTTCCCCCCCCCGGGAAAATGGCTATATAGTAGATTTTCCCCCATGGAAAGATGGCTATATAGTGGGATTTCCCCTCTTTTATAGCCAGATTACCCCCAGGGAAAACCTACTATATAGTAGATTTTCCCTCTTTTTTCATTCCGGTTAAGTTTATGGAGGACCATTCTTTGTAATAATTCGCAATACATGCGTATTTGAAAAGACATTGATTATCACCGACACGTAATTAAGTAGACTGACATTTCTTTTTGTTATGAAATCAATCCATTACGATAAGGAAATTGTTTTCACGAGTGGGACAGAACTTTTGTATTATATTTCACTTGTGAAATAATATAAAAAAATCTTGTCCCACTAGACGTGAAATAAATTCAATATCCAACCACCAACATTGAATATCCTCTACGAAAAAATATGTAACGTTCCAAATAAAATTCCTCTTGCGTAGGATTGTTTCTTTTATATTTATAAAATTCAACGGAAGACTTGAATGATTCAAGTGTTTCCTCACTATTTTAAGTTTTTAATCAAACTTTGTTCTCTCGATTTCATGAATTCAAATCTATCGAATCGATTTCACAGAATATTCTGCCAAAGATAGATTGATATTTGATATTTTAATATCCAACCGATATTCTATGATGTCATTTCAAATCATGATTTATTTAACTGATATCCCCCCCTTTTTGCGCAGAATAGTTCTCGAGAATTACTCAAGCAAATGCGAATTTTTCATGATACATGATTTGGCTGTCGGACTCTAAAAGGAGCAAAGAATCGGATCTCTCTACGGCGCAAAAAATTAGAACAAATAGTTCCACAAAATCTTGATTTGTTTTCATTTATATTTTTTTTCCAAAGAATATTTTGTAAATCATTTTCACCGAACGTACAGAATGAAAGGTCCTTTTGTACGATTTGAATAAAAAGGGTTGGAGTCTGAAAGGAAGGGCCCAGAAGCTCAAAATCGTATTAATTAACAAACTTAAGAACTTTTTGCATAAATATTTGGTTTACACTTCTTTAAAATCAATTATCCATATACGTATGTACTGCAGTCCTAAAAACAGCCTATTTCACCTCAAAGCTACATCTGAGATGAACTTCTCCATGGTTGATACCTAATACGTAAAAATTTCACTATAAAAAAAATCATGAATTACTACAAAAGAAAACAAATGAAGATATGCAAGTTAAAAAGTTATTTT